TCAGATTCACTAGTTTTTTTTCTTACAGAGAATGAGCGAACGAATTTGTTGTATCGTACAACCCTTTTCAAATACCTCATGCTCAGTATGTGCAAAAAACCTCCCACACAAAACTTCGGGGAAAAAAGTAAGACGTAAACATGACCGTAAACCGAAGGTAACCAATTTCAATGCTTAAAATGAGAAAAAAATAATTGTACATTACTACAAGACAAAACTGGGGGTTTTATTGTTTTAAAATTTTAACTAAATAGTTGTACGAAGATTCTGATACAGTTAGACTGCAACTACTGTTGTCTACTTGGCGTGATGGCGTGATAACGCCATCAGATGACGTGATAACGTGAAAAATACATGGCTCAGAGTCAATGCGGTAATATCTGATAGGAAGCGAAAATATCCCTGACAAGCTTATAATATACGATAACATATAAAAGTAGCCGCATTGGTTAGCAAATAGATTAAAAATTTTAACGCTACTAAATAGCAGTCATGACGTCGAAACTCGAACTACTTCTGTCCTGAAATTTATATTTGCAAGAGATTGTGATTGAAAGCTTTCAAGTACATAAGCGTGAAAAACCTAATATTTGGTTTTTGGCCTTCTAAGTATGTATTTACACTATGTGTATGATCTTGCTTTGGGTACTAATATTTTTCTTCAATGTATGAGGCCTACCAAAGTAACTGTACTATATAATTGGTGATATAAACATAATGAAAGTAATACAGGCCACTATAAATATTGTCAGGCTCCTCAGAAGTCCTAGGAAAAATATTTCATTAGTCTCTCAAGGTTCATTGACGAAAATAAATTGATGTCGCCATCACAGTTTGGTTTCAGGCCTGGCCTTTCAACACACTATGTGTTGCTCCGTCAAAGTAATTAGCCATAAAAATATTGAAAAGAGAAGATTAAAACTGGTCATTGTTACAGATTTGGTCAAAACCTTCACTGTTATTAAAACCATGCAACCACGTAATACACAATTTTGTTGATTTCCGGAAAGTAAATTGTAAACGTATTGCATGAATAGTGCCAATCAAAAATACTCTCATTGCTGTTTATAGAAACACATCACAAATTAGTTCTTCTGAAAGCCACCTCTTCGGCACTGATATCTTTTCGTAGGCTGTTCCAAGACACATTATCAGGATAACGAGCTAAGTACTTTATAGGCAAGTCGTATAAAAAGATCCCCTTAAAAACGTACATTATGCTTCTGGAAAGCGGTTACACGGGATGTAGCGGAGTGCGAAAATTGGGATGTAATACCGGGGCCACAATTGATACGGGCACCACCAGCCACCCTCAATGTCTCTCGCGCTACTGGTACACAAGGATGCCCTACGTGGACACCTTACGTCTAATTGGCTGTTTTGCTACTTCATCGGGAGAAGACAAAAATAAAGAAAGAAAGAGGAAGGCAGGCTGGATAAGAAAAGTTCAGGTTTACTACATGACAAAATTTCGGCTACGTTGAATATATATTTTAATGAAGGCATGTTTTTAAAAAGCTCGTTTCGCAATAATTCTAGTGTCAACGTTCGTGTAGTTATCGTTCGTCGTGATTAAAACTCATCAACTTGTTTAAGAGCAAATAATAAAAAAAATTAAATACCATATATAAAATTTCAGCATATCCAAAGCATCTTGTTACACAATGTTGCTGCGATAATATAGGTTGTATTGTGATGCCTACACATAGGAGGCGTGTGATTGTAAAGCACGAATTTTATTTTTAATATATCTCAAAGCAGAGGAACCTAATTTAACTGCATTTATAACCAGAGGCGTGGTTGTGTGGTAAAACACTTGCTTGCCACGCAAACTACCTGGGATCAATGCTTACTCAGATGTTGAAAGTCTTATTAATTAATTTACATGAATCTATTCAGATTTGTTGGTCGTAAACAAGATAACGTTTTTTCCCCCACAGGCAATGACGTCCACGCCGGAATTTCTGTGAAACGAGCTCTTTAACGCTGTCGCGTTGACTTCATAGCCAGTACTGCAACCATAATTGGCATTTAAGGAACACTCGAGTCTATTTGAAAACTTATTTTGATTCCAGGCATAGCTCCATGGTAGAATAATTGATTGCAACGCAGAATACTGGGGCTCGCCCCCTGTGAAGACCACGAGATTTATTATTTGCATTCCTCTAGTCAACGCTGCAGATGTGAAGTTTTCTTTGACGATCTGACATTTGAATTATTAACTCATCGTTTGCCCACCGCACAACGACGCTTCTGCTTTCCTCTTCTCCTCAATCGTAGTGTACATTAACTCTGAATCACTAGCGGCACAAACCCATCCGTGTTATGCGGGTATGTCTCACACGGATCTGGCAGAAATGTTTTGACGACGTACGCGACGGGATTGCGGCAGTATTCATTCGATGAGTGAGCATTGAATCATATTCGTAATACCATCTTAACTTTTGAAACTAATTTTCGTTTACCCCAAGTTAAAACACTGCAGCAAGAAGACGTAGGCGGATTTGATAGATAGATAGATATATAGATAGATAGATAGATAGATAGATAGATAGATAGATAGATAGACAGATAGACAGACAGACAGACAGATAGATAGATAGATAGATAGATAGATAGATAGATAGATAGATAGATAGATAGATAGATAGATAGATAGATAGATAGGCGCCTAAGTTGTCGCAAACCGCAAAAGATTTTGAAAAGGCTTCAGGTCAAGTGAAGATTAAACCCAGTTCACCCGTGTGGCAGCAAGCAGGTGTCCAACAACAAAGCCAAGTTATTGCTTGAAAATGACTCGAAAATAAACGCCTTATATTTGTCTTCTAGTTGGCAGACCCTCCCTTTCGATGGAGGCAAAAATGCTGTAGGCCTGTGCGCTCAGGTTTGGGTGTACGTTGAAGAACCCCAGTAGGTCAAAATTTCCAGCGCCGTCCACTTGCGTCATTTGCGGCCAAGATAGTATTGTAAAGTTTCCAAGCTCCTAAGTTGCGTTAGGCAGTGCACACGTAAATCTTCTCGCTCCAGCAGGCTCGTGCGTAATCATGATTCTGTAAATTGATTTTAGTTAGCGGCTTGGAGAAAACTGTTGACTAAAGGTGTGCGCTTTTATGAATTCATTTCTAACTTTTTCGGAGGCTTCGAAGACCAAGCGAAAGGAGAAAATGTGCGCTTATTTAGGGGCTTTTATTTATTTTCAAAGCTGTATAGATCGTCGTGAACCAATGAAAACTATATTCATAATACTGCAGTTGTATGCGTCGATACATCTGGCGATTATACCGAATGGCTTGCCAATGTTTGACTGCTGCTAGATTAAGAGTTGAATCCTCTTAAGATCTACCCAATAGGAACCCTACGTTGACTACTGATAGCACTACTGTGACGTCATACGATTGACTGAGGTTGAATACCTTGGTCGAAAATTTCTCCTATATGCGGCAACGCTGCTACTTTGCTATATTGAAGGCGAGCTGCTGCGGTAACGAATATGCCAATAGGACGACACCAACAAAATTAATCGAAAATAAAGACTGCTGAAATACCCATCTGTGTCGCCCAAATACCAAGACATGTGTACGCACTATCAGAATATGTATTCAATGGCATGGTTTATCTTCTCGCAGTTATAGCAAAAGAAATGCTTGCACACTGGCTACGTGTACTGCAAAAATTTCTTCAGGGGCAAAATTTATTGTAGCAAATTCATTAAAAGAGTAGTGTGAATTCCTAAGTAATTGAAGGGCAATCTCCAAACGGAATGCCAAAAGGGCATAAAGAGAAGTGGGGGGCGGGGGGAAGGGGTTAGACGCTTAGGTTTTTACGTCAACAAATATTAGCAGAACGAAGAGACTAGTGCATAGTTCTTGAACATCAGTCCCTAATCGTAGAGCCAGTGTTTGTGGTGTCTTCATGACTGGCTGTCAGCGTCCCTTTTTTTTTTCCATACGTTACTCTCTCGTAAACTGTATATTTGGTGGTTTTCGGTAATTGTCAGCGTCATCGTAATTGGAGGTATGGTGCGCTTCATTGCTCAACGCCAACACCTCAGTAAAGTTCATACATGACTGTCTTCCGAAGTTATGTTTCGACAATTACTATCCAACTACTTACCGCTCTGTCTAGATGTCTGGTGCCTGGTATAAAGCAGTTGCTTCAGTGAGAAATAAAGTAGGCAGTTTTTCCATTTCAAGTTGGCTGCCGCGAAATTGCCGACAGCGGAACATATTGCGGGGAAGCATTTGCAGATGTCTGAATAACTTGAATTCACCAAGCATAACTCTGCTATGCTTTGTTCTAAATTATGTATACTGAGTGTTTTAGGTCACTTGACCTGTGTAATTTTTTTCAGGTAATCAGATGCGAGCAAGAACAAGTTTAGCCCCGGTGATACTGGTTGCAAGCGTATGTCTTCTAGTATGGAAGGTTGATAACTTATGGGAAACTTGTCATCTCAATTCGGCGCGTCGGCGAGGAACGAAATTGTCAATTTATTCAAACGACAAACTTGGGTAGGTATTAATAGTAGTAACTCTGCAACAGAACTTGCTCATTGACTTCGTTTAAAATTTCTCTGTTTTCAATCATGACGGTACAAGATACTGTTGAAAAAACAACACCTCGAAGAGCTAAGGTAGATTGGAAACGCCATGCCATGTTGCCATAACACTGACCTATTAGAATAGTAAAGTTAATCTGGAATCTCATAAAACCTAGTCACATGCTTCGAATATTTTCTTTCTAATTTTAAATTCTGCTCTACTCTTACAGATGGGCTACAAAGAAAAGCCATCATTGAAGGCGCACACACAAAAGAACTGACCGTTGCGTCAAAGGAACCTCCGAATGTTTCGGAAGATATATACGACTTTTTTCTCGAAGGTCCTCTCCCAGTTGCGTTTAAGGATGCGCTTGAGAAGTATCCCGTCGTACCAATCACTGACGTCAAAATAGTGCTGATTGTCGCGTATTATCGGTCAGGGTCAAGTTTTTTTGGTGAGTTAATGTCCTCTACACCAAGGACGTTCTTCCACTACGAGCCTCTTATGCTGTTCACTGTGGCCGGCAACATTCGACTGGGAAGGCAGCACTACGCTTTCAAGCTGTTGGACGCCCTTGTACAGGTGCCGTTTCGAGCCGCTCTACACTGCTTGGATGGAGAAACACCCCTTATTACAAGCAGAACCACTTCCTGGCTGATATCTGCGGAGGAGAAGAGTCGTGCTTTTCTCCAGGTCACCTTGCTAGTCTGTGTTCAAGAGCACAAACGCAAGTTTTCAAGTTCACGAGACTTTATGTTACTCAGGTGAGATACTGCGCAGTTCATTTGCATTTAATTACAGCGTCCCATCAGCATTCCATTTTCTGCATAGAATGTTCTTCTCGGCAAACTTTCCGGAATTTCGTTTCTCTTTCAAAGTACGTATACGTAAACGCAGTTGCTAAGCTCCACCACGGTGGTCTAGTGGCTAAGGATACTCGGCTGCTGACCCGCAGGTCAGCGAGGATCTGAATCACGGCAGCAGCGGCTGCATTTCCGATGAAGGCGGAAATGTTGTAGGCCCATGTGCTCAGACTTGAGTGCGCGTTAATCAACCGCAGGTGGACAAAATTTTCGGAGCCCTGCACTACAGTGTCTCTCATAATCATACGGTGGTTTTGGGACTCTAAACCCCACATAGTACCGAACGCAGTTGCTAAACTACCCCACTACTTCTGCCAATAATAACGGTACGAAAAACAAAGCACACCACCGCTGAAAATCTAATATTTAAATACAAACACAATGAGGTAAGTAAAAGAACATCCATTTTCTTTGTTAAACACAATATTATAGGAGAATAGATAATGATGCCAAGCTAGTTATAGCGAATAGTATTCGAAGTAATTGCAATGTAAAGATTAATAAAGAGAACAAAAACACAGCCAGCAACTGGTGGGATCCGAACCCGTGACTTTCTTAAAAAGTTTCCGATGCTCGGTCAGCGACAGCGGTTGGGTGGCCATCCCAACCTTCCTTTTTATACAGTATATTTTTGCATTAAAATGCGAGTATCAGTCAGTGACAGCGGTTGGTATTCGGCGAGTGTGGAACACATTTCTTTTTCGCCTGTTCGCGTAAAGCTATATTTTAGTCTACGATTCGTTCCCCACATTTACAGTGCGATTACTGTTCATAATATTCCCTATAATTTTGTAGGCGTCTTTGTAGGTTATTTCTCCTTAATATCGTGGCTAAAAACTAGTCGTTAAACGAGGCCTGTAACACTTCTTGAGCATGGTGAGAAAACACTCCCTATCAATAGTCAAGGCTTCCCAGAACATGCGAGTCAAGTGGAGTAGTGCAGCACGTGGCCTGCCATTCACAATAAGTTATCAAAACGAGCTAAAAATTGTTTTTATTCTTCCGGAAACTGAAAGAGGAAGCCCAAAAGTCGCTCAACGCGTTCTATCAGTAATTGTCTGTTTTAAAGATGGCGCGCTCGGTCATTACAGGGATCAGCGCGGGAGGCCCTGACTTCTCTCCTCGCATGTGCGCCCGATGCAACAGGAAAAAGGCACGTATTTGAAAAAAAAAAATTGGTCGAAGTAATGAGCCGCACGTGACACGTCTCCTACGCCTATGATACATGAATATTTTCCTCAGCTTAGATTCCAGCACTTTCGTCGGCGTGAGAGCGTAGAGAATGGAATTGCAGTGTGCGACAAACTTGTGTAAATCCGCTCGTACTGATTGGGTTCTTAAAATTTTTGCGGTGTCGCATTCGTGAGGACAAAAGATCTTTAACTAATTACATTCCATGGTACCCTGAAAAAGTGTTATAGAGCCCATGTAAAGGGCCCTAAAACACTTTTTTAATAGCCATGGAAATTATACACTAAAGGAGCTTATTGCCTTCCGAATTCACCACCGCAAAAGGTTTTGAAATACGTCCAGTACGAGGGGAGTTGTTGCAACTGCGTTGGCTGCAATGACATTCTCTTCTTTTGCGTCCCGATGAATTCGCTTCAAGGTAATCGGGGAGGAATAGCACGGGAAAAATACGTCTCGTGCGCCTCAGAATTTGAACACTTATCTTTTTTCTATTCCAATGTGCGGCTTTTTTGTGCTACTGCGTGCGCATGCATGGAAATGTCGTGTCGTCCGCTGGCGGCTTGTGTGAAAACCGAGCACGCCATGCTCAAGCCAGCCAACGGCTGACACAATGGCTATAGGGATGCGATCTTTGATCTTGTATTGTGATTAGTCGAGAAAAATGGAAGTTATTCCGAGCTTAATTTGAGAACTTAATGTGAATCGCAAGCCGCCTGTAGCGGTGCATTACTTTGCTCGAGTTTTCTCGGCCACCTCGACTACCTAACGGCAATGTTTTCTGACCATGTTCATAAAAGCGTTGCAGGGCCCCTTTAGGTTTACGCTATTTTTGTAAATTCAAAAGGAAGGTCTCGTATAGGAAAGACTGGATGCCGTTAGGTAGTAATTGAGGTATTGTTGGTTAGCTGCCAGCTTGTAATAAGGTTATGTGCTGTACCTCACGCCAACAGGCAAAAAAAAAGGTGTTCTACAACGGCCGTGGTTCTACACTGGCCGCAGTGACAACAAGTGAGCACTTCTTGATGCTCCGACATTTAATGCACATATAGTCCCTATAAAGTAGACGAGGGGATGACCACCCCCGTAACACCAGTGGAAGAGCAACGAACGCATTCTTCGGAGGTCGCAGTTCGCATCTTGCCGGTGGCAATCTAACTTTTCGTCCTCTTCTCTTCCTTCACATTCACATTACATTTACTTCTAACAGCGTCCCATGTACATTTCTTGTTATCTTTGTCTCTTAGTAATCATTAACGCACACAAAGACGTTTGAACATCTACAAGGGCGCCATGTTCAGGAGTCTTGACCAGGAGTTTTACTCGTAAACAAGGTTCTTGATCGGGAGTGTAAAATTAGTTTTGTGCGTACGTCTCATAAATTTTCATCGTAAGCGATGCAGTGCTTTGTTTTTTCTACCTTCGACATGTGTCATCCCTATACTGCCGTATTTATGTTCAACCTTCATCTTCATTTAGCTTGAACTAATTATAAACGTCAACATCGGTGAAATTTGGTAACATAAATGTGCAACGCATGCGTTAGTTTTTGAACAAAAATATTGCAATCATTATTATATCTCTGGATGAATGGCTGTAATGCAGGGATTTTTATCGTCTGATGCTTTTTTAGGACCTTCTTACGCTTTCACGGTTTCACTCTTTTCGTTAACGCTGTTTTTCATTCTTCACTGCATTTCGCGTTCACTTGTTGTTCTTTTCCCGTTTGCCGATACATAGTATGCTCAGTTAGAGCTACGGCAACGGCAACGGCGCCGAAAAGGAAATGGCCGAGTCAGTTTATGTGCATGGTGCACGCCCTCACCGAAATGAGGTTCTGCGTTTTTGTAGCTATGCTGAGAGCACGTTCGTCTCTACCATGGCGACCTCTCTAAAGACCTACATAAGCGTTTAGGTACTAATCAATTGCGAATAAACTTCCACACACTGCCATTTTATCTGTACATGAAATTCTCAGTGTATAGGGAACCGCCGAAAGTGCGATATATAAGAACACAGTTCTACTTTTATATTTTTTTTTCATTTGTGAGGACAATTTCAGTAGTCCGTTTTAAACTGTTTTGGTAATCAGTAGGCGGATAAATGCTTACGTATCTACCCAATTTGCATGGATAATGTTTATTTAGAAATTCAAGGATACATTGTTTTGCTTTTTCATGCAATTTATTCCTCGTACACGTGGTAATGTGTGGATAAAGTGTACGTATTAATGTAACGACGAATTCTCGTTCTCATCTAGCCCTAAATGATATGCCTAGGTGGCAGCACGTCTTAGTAAACTAATAGAAGTTCGTAAATTTCTCCATCTCTTTATTTGGGGCAGGTGCAGTCCTGGATCAAGCGAAACCCAGAAATTGCACCTTCCGTGCGCGTGATCCACCTGGTTCGAGATCCCCGTGCCGTGTACGCTTCCAGAAGGCGTCTCGGTTGGTGCAAGAATCACAAGCAGTGCGGAAGTGCCACCGCCCTGTGCGACCAGATGAGATCCAATCTGGACGCATTCGGGGACCTGGGCCATCACCTGCCGAACAACAGAACGTATCAGATTCGTTATGAAGACCTCACTGCCGACCCACTGAATGAGACCAAGCGATTGTTCGCGAGTCTGGGTCTACAATTTACACCGTCGGTATACGAATACGTAGTAAACCACACGACGGCGAGCGGGGCGAAAACGAAAGACGCGTTTTCGACTTGGAGAAACGCGAAAGAAGTCGCCGATAGGTGGAAACGCCGGATATCACCTAGGAAAGATTCGCCAGATACAAGCCAAGTGCATTGATGTGCTTCAGAGGTTGGGCTACGAGATGACCTAAAAAGATAAAGAGGTAAAAAATATCGCTCTATTGTATTCACAAGATTTCATATTACGCCACCTGAATCATTCCTAGGCATACGCCATCCAGCAGTCGCAATAGCAATGAACCCAATGTAAGAAGCCAAGCATTTCCTAACAAATCATAGGCGAGTCGAGCGCTTCTATCTATCTATCTATCTATCTATCTATCTATCTATCTATCTATCTATCTATCTATCTATCTATCTATCTATCTATCTATCTATCTATCTATCTATCTATCTATCTATCTATCTATCTATCTATCTATCTATCTATCTATCTATCTATCTATCTATCTATCTATCTATCTATCTATCTATCTATCTATCTATCTATCTATCTATCTATCTATCTATCTATCTATCTATCTATCTATCTATCTATCTATCTATCTATCTATCTATCTATCTATCTATCTATCTATCATCTGTCTATCTATCTATCTATCTATCTATCTATCTATCTATCTATCTATCTATCTATCTATCTATCTATCTATCTATCTATCTATCTATCTATCTATCTATCTATCTATCTATCTATCTATCTGCATACGTTCGGGCCCCTTGTAATCACCTCCTCAACTTGGTCTATATCAAAATTAGCTTAAAAGGGCAATGCTGTAGGGCGAAAAAGACTAGACCTCATGCAAGAATGATACAAAATTACACGAATAAGGCAAATACTTTTTTCATTTCGTGACGAACCTTTTTACTTTAGTGATGCGTGAAACAAACCCGTATACTAGCAGCCACGCTAATTCAGTTATGCGGCACATGTTATTCATAGCCTCTATCTACATACAATGTTAAAGAACGCACACTAATAACTTAACGAGGTATAAAAGTATAATATCAGAAAGCCAGCATGAACAAAATCCAGGCACTCGGAATCGCCCTCAAGTGGTCTACTACGAAACCACGCCGGATCTCGAAAGTGCCGTTGAAAAAGATTCGATCTAAAAATGGCGTCGTTGCAATGTCAATTAAGGTTGCAGTGCTAGCGATCTTATTTTATAACAATGTAGCAAATATTTTAATTATACGCCTGTGATATTGTCGTCGTGTGGAGTGAACGCCGATTGAGATTCAAGTATTGACCAAGCTAATAATGATAATTCCAGTGCTTGCAACAGTCTAATAAACGTTAAATATACACTCCTAGGATGCCACAATGTATATTCGAGAGTTGCTAGGACTGGTGGTAATAAGCTTACGAATGCGAAATGTGATGGTTTGATTATCGTACACGTGTGCACTCGTTTCTATCAAATTGCCGTATCTGCGCCACCTTAAGTGCTGACGTTAGGTCAAAGAATGCGTCACCGGTGAAAGACCAATGTCGTCGACATACTTGGTAAGTCAGCGACGTGCAGACTACTTCATTTAGAAAACACGTTAGTGCACCTCACGTGTTTTGATGTGAAGAAAAAAATATAGATTGTAAGGAGATATTTCCGGATAGCTATATGTGTGGGACCAATCACCACAACGAAAGACGTCTGCCTGAATTCTATTGCTGAATTAGTCAAAGTTTTTATCACGCATTGCCATTTCACCCGTGATTAGCTTACAGTTTTGATAAAACATATATATGTTGAAAGCACCAAAGACCTACTTGAATAAGTGTATCAGTCAAAGATAACGTACCTTCGAATACGTGTACCATCAAGACTTGATGTTTATAGTCGAAAGATGGAGGACGCCTAAACAGTGCTTCTTGCACTGATTGGCCGGTGGCAAAACTTTATTAACTTTGGCAACTTACCATGGGGATGGGTCACGAAACGGGCGTTGCCTGGTTGTATAGTGAAATGCTATAGCGCATCAAACACCGTCCGTGTTGCCTTATCCTGCAACTGGGCACGTAACAGTACTTGCAATGTAAATAAGTGCCCGCTACGTGCAGTGTGACATGTACGAAGCTGCGGAGGCGGCTCTTAGTTGAAGGTTTTGCTGCTGTACTGATGATGACTACTGTCTATGACTGTGCGCTTTGTTAAAAGTAGACAGCTTGAAGCCACGCACTCGTAACGCAAATTGCATGGTGTGATGCCTTGTGGCATTCCCTGCTACAGTCACGCAATATGAAACGGACGCCTTGAATGGTTTCTAAAACGCGAAAATAGACCTTTTACGTTCATGGTGTGAGCAAGAGCGATGCAAGAAATATCATCACATGATGACGTCATCACATGACGTCACTTGTATGCAGATTGCGTCGCCATCATGATGTCACCCTACGCGACGTCACGTGATGCTGCAATCACATGACATCATCGTTTAGTGAATGATGTGCCGATCACAGAGGCAGTGCAGAACAAAGTGAGGTGCCGAAATCTTGGAATGCCTTTGATCCTGAAGAGAGCGCGAAATTACATTTGGGCAGTAAGCTGTCGGAGGAAGGTTGGGAAAGTGTAGAAGAGAGTATAGCTTAGAAACTGCAAATCACATATAAGCTGGGGAAAGAAGTTTTGGGACTCGCTCACTGGATTTCGTGCGGACCAGTGCGCCCCCGCGATCTCCGATGACAGCGCAGCTTTGGCCTACAGGCTCGCCCTACGCCATGTCCTGACGCCGACAAAAGCTCCGGCCGGGTGGTGCCCCATCCTCAGACTCCTTCGACTGTGTCCATCTTTCCTATCTCCTCTTTCCTTCTGTATGTGGGTGTCTCTGTACCTATCCATATCTCTATCCCTATTCCCTTTTATCCTCCCTATTGCTCTTAATCCTTCCTTACCCTCATCCCTCGTGAGCCACTGTTGAGGTGTCGCACTATCATGCAGACAGTTACGGGGCTCACTTTTATCTTCTTTTCTCTCTTTTAAGAATCACTTACAGATCTCAATGTTTTTCAGAAAAAATGCTTCCAGTACAGCTTGGTTTTATTGTCTATTTGAGCTCAAATATTTGAAAATCAAACAGAAACTTGAAATGCTGAAATCCAAACATACAACTAAGAAGAAAAATAAAATAGCTTCTGTTTCGGGTCGTCTTAGGCAAACGCATAACACACCTTGTGAGTTTTTATATCAGTCAACGTGAGTCCTTGCAGACATGAAACCTGAAATGTGGAAAGTTCAAACTATCCTGCTGTTTTTGTGAAGCAGTTTAAGTAATGGCTTGAACATACTGTAGAGGGCTGGACCACCACGCATCATCTCTCGTCACCATTCAGTTTCGAGCATTCACTTTTATTATTCGAGTCTATCGACATATTTCCCTCATGAAAATTGCTGATACTTAACTCACGGGTGATGACGTTGACGCCTGCTTCACCCGCATTTCAGCTGAAAACTGTTCATCGTAAGTACGTCAAAAGTAAAAGAAATGCACGTTAGCGTGCGAAAAACTAAACCAATACAACACGATTTGCAGTGGCTAAGCTCGGCTACATCAGTATATAGGTAGCGTAGTCTATAAGCTATACATAGACGGATGGATAATTGAACAAACCACGGAAGGACAGATCGATGGACAGCCACGGATAGATAGACGAACCACAGATGGAGACGAGGACGAATCATAGAGAGACGAACGCCCATGGATGAATGGATGGACGATTGAAGCATGGATAGACGGCCGCACTAGTGAGCGAGTGATCTCAAGCGAGTCGAGCGCCAGTCCTCAAGTCGCACGTTTCTCCAGGAGCTTCCAGGCCTTCCACGCGCCAGCTCTGCGCAGTGAGACGCCGTCGCTCTTCGTGGTTGCGCAAAAGTGCTCACCATTATTCACACGAAACTCTCAACCTCGGTCAGTGTAGGTTACCCTACAATAAATAGGTAGGGTTCTAACCACGCAGTTATAGGTTCTAACCACGCAGTTTTACTTCTGAATTTCAAAGGATAACTACAAAGTACCGTCATCATGTAGGAAAAAATGACAGAATGTTTTAGTTAGAGTTCACATGAATTGCATACGAGCTGGGGTTGTTGCGCAAAAGTACAGAGCCTCTTGCAAACTTGACTTATTGCACAATGCAATGAAGAGAAATGCGCTCTTGCTACTTCCGCGAGAAATACACCAATCTGCGCAGCTTTAGCAAAATTAAAGCGTTCATGTCGACTATTCGGCAGGCAAGTCTCCACACGGACAGAACGTTTTTATGCTCAGAACTTCAAAAACGTCTTTTAAGTGAAATCACTGAAATTATCATAACAGATTCACTTTTGATGTGTGCAGCCCTTACAGTGCCATAACAATTACGAGGCCTACTGACGTTCCGCACATTAGTAGCGCCGCAATCGAAAACACTGAGATTAGTGTGGCAGCCAAGTCACGGAGGCTTACTATTCGATGATTCGGCCAATTCTTCATCGCGAGCATCACTTGACAGACCAATAATTCCGGTAGTACCAGAGTTAAAATACATTGCAGGGATGACATATAAAAATTTGATAGTTGTACTGATATGTTGGAAAATATCAGAAAAGGGACAGATTACTGGAGACAGTATCAAAAATGTTGAAGTTTTTGACTTGAGATCTTGGTTCCGTATCCCTCGTTAAACTTGTATTTGCACAGAGCTGGTCTTGCGATATCTTCCCCTTGTCCATTCTGCGAGAAATCGTTATGTATTCAACATTATTTGTATAGTGTCCTAATTATCAAGTATAATTAAGAAAACTCTGTCAGCTATTTCATTTGCGAAGCTAGGTTTAAGTTTCACCGCAGAAACTGTTCGAAATTTTAGTGCCTCTGTCCCGGGACATTGGCACAGATATGTGTTTGATGTAGAGTGTAATTTCATTAAAGCCACTAAACGTCTTTACACATATATTGTCAACTTAAATGAATACTACGAAATGAAAAAAAATACTCGGGAAGTATTTTGTAGTGTGAGGAACTCTAAAACGCGGATACCAAACTAATCAGGTTAGGAGGTCGCCTGCCGACTCCAAAAAACTGATTATCCTTTTTGTTATTGCGCTCATTACCAGCTTT